TGCCAGGAAGGAGTGCGTTAGAAGCCACGGCCTCTCAACGCCATGGAACGTCAGCATGAAGCTGCCACTGAAACCTCTGAGGGCCTGGCGCCCGCCTGCCCCATCTCTGAACAGGAAAAAACCTCATTGTGGGGCACAGCATCACGGGACAGACCGTTTAGCAGCTTGCGGCTGGCCTGTGCAGCACCTGCCAAGGCGACATGCTGCCATGCCGTGTCTGGCCACAGAGCATAATGGTCACAATCCTTGCCAAGAAAGGCCTCTTTGTCCTGAAGTCGTCCCAAGAGCATGTCCTCCAAAGAGAATCGCGGCCAAGTGTCCTAAACGTCCTAACAGAAACGCTACGCACATTTACACAATTCGACTACATCACCAAGCACTATAAGGACTAAGAACGGTCAATGAACCTTGGCTCCAATTCAATAGTCGAGAAATCGCATGCGTCATGTGAGAAGGCCTATGCCTGTCAGACCTCTCAACACGATGCTCTAGGCCCTAAGTTGCAAAATGTTGTTGGTTGAACGGAAGGGGATATACAGTTATACAGTTACACAGATGCAGCCTTGTACATGAACACTATGCACTTGTTCGGTAGCTGTAGAGAGAGAGGATGAGGCAGGCACACACAAACGCAGACAGACAGGCACACAGACAGAGAGAGCAAGACAGATGAAGGCGTCGAGAACAGGCAGAAGGAGCAACAGTTGCATGCAGGAGGTGCCCGTGAGTTTGCGCATCACGTCTGTTCATGCATGTCAGCAAACATGCCGGCAGGCAAGGCAGGCAGGCGACAGCCGTGGTGGGTGGACATTCCAACTGCATCGATGGAAGAGTGTAGACGACGGTTCGCTTGGCTTTGGAGCAGCAAACCCTTCCCCACGTCGCGAACTGGTCACTGAAGGACGGAAGTGTCCTGCACAGGGGTCCAGAAAGAAGCCACCGTCACCTGTGCATGTAGCTGTGAAGCCGAAGCCCAGGTCAGAGCAGAGAATTCCCGGATTCGCCGAGGCCCGCTCCAGCATGCTAAACATGGTCGCATCGAGGCCAAACTTTTCCAGATAGATATCTTTCGCAGTGCCAACCACTGACATCCTGGGGCTCAAGGAAACAACGAGAGGCTTTTGCTGCTCGCTTGCTCGCCGAGGCTCATTCCGAAAGGGCTGAACAAAGCAAGAGCGAAGCGCGTTCTGCGAAACCAGGAGTGGCCGGATGGGCCCCTGACCAGAAAAAAGGACCGGCTGACAGTAAGCTACCTTTGGGATCCTTTGGATGCCTGGGTTGAAACGCAAGCGAGTGAAGCTGGTGAAGCCCGCAGGAAGCTCCCTGGCACATGCATAGCAGGGAGACATGACAGCAGAAGAAGGAACTCTGCGAAAACTCCTTGTCCGGGCCATCAGCGGCAATGTCTTTCCCCATTGCTCGCACGGAGATCTCTACGACATTGTCCCGAGGCCCAAGATGTCATGTCTCAAGTGCTATCAGCTCAGTACAAAGTGGCTGTCACCTGACTCTAGGTCTGTCCCCGCACCGTGGGATCCACCGACGCTTACTGCTGTTCTTCCTCCATGTCACATGATGCTATTCTCGACCATGCAGGTCTATTGGCAGCCCCTTACGGCTGCTTGCCAAGCAATGAAGCGATGGCACCGCCTTTGCCAGACTAGCTGAGACTGGTGCAGACAGTGTCGGTCGAACTGGGGTCCCCACTTCGCCACAGTGAGCCTTAGAAGGGTGCAGAAATGCAGGGAGAGATTTGGACCAGTCAGCTGCACTGGGACAGACCCTCAGCCAGTCGCCGCTCCGCCGATGAGAGTCAACAATAGCCTGGCAGCCACCGGACATTCCACTTCATGAGTGCTGTCCTAGAATCCAGAAACCCTATTATCAGAATTTGCACAACGGTGTCGGGAGAACGCCAGCTTTGGGACAGGCAATCCCGACAGCCACGGCGCTGCGGCAGCAACCAAAGTCGCGCGGCCACCCCACTCATCCGGAGTGTCTGTCCAGAAGCGGTGGAAGACTTCCTGCCGAGGACTAAGCCGACGCAGCAACATGAGGAGTGAGAGGCCATAGGCCTGTGCGAGTCCTGTGTCTCGTGCTTCTTGCTGGTCAGGATGCTTTCGCTTGAGTCCCGAGCCAGGCGCTCCACATTCACAGCTTCAATGAAGAGCTCCACCTCGATTCTCTTGCCTGGAAAAGTTGGACGCCAGCGCTGGTACACAATGCCTTCCACCGTCACCGAGTCCCCAGGTTGGGCGACTCCAACCATGTCTCCGAAGACTGTCACAGCACAGGACTGCGGGACAACTCCGACATCAAGGGCTTGCATGTCATCTTGGACACGAATCTCTTGAAAATCAGACATGCAGTCTTCACTCGCCGGAAGAGCTGTAAATTGCTTCGAATGACAGCGCGAAGTTTTGGGGCGCTTTGCTTTGGCATCCCACTTCGTCTTCTTCTGCGCGCCGGGACATTCTTTCGGAATCTCGAAATCATAGCCGCAAGCCGGAGAAGCGCGGCAGCCAAAGCTATGGCCACACTGCCTTGGCGCAGCGACAGACAGTTTGGGGCTTTGGGGTTTTAAAGTCTTCGGGTTTTCAGGCAGACGAAGGCAGAACGAACCCCGGAACTCACAGATAGCATAGGAAGGAAAGGCAAGGAAAGGAAAGCACGAATATGGGTCTCAACAAGAGCCTCAAACACATTCTGTTCATTTGCATCGGTAGTGGCTTGCACCCAAGTCACAAAGCTCGCCCAGTACGTTCTCATCTTCCATCATTTACAAGGCCGTGCCCTCTCACTCTTGCTTTCTGAAGGGCGACCGGGTCCCCCCTTGCGCAAGTGTGCTCCCCGTTTTGGAGGAGAAAGAGAGAGAGAGAGAGAGAGAGAGAGACTGCAGGACATGGTCCATCTTTGAGCATCTAACTTCATCTCCCTTGCCCTGAATCATCTGCTATGGCAATGATCTTTAGCACCCTGTGACAACAGCATGTAGCGAGTTGCAGCACAGCAGATGAGGTACTGTAAGTGTTATGACACAGGTCCGTCTCAGAGCATCATTCAGCATGATGTGAAACCAGTGAAGCAGGGCAGAGAGAGAGAGAGAGAGAGCTTTCATGTTGTCTCCTTATGTTTGCCCCAGCCTTTGAGGGTGAGTGCAGTGGCTTTCTGCCCGCCTGTTGGGGTCCCAGAAAGCCACTGCATTCACCCTCAAGGGCTGGGGCAAGTATAAGGAGACGACATGAAAGCTCTCGCTCTTATTATTCAGCACAGCCAGAGGAGCGTCGCAGATGCTCAGCCCCCAGCCCTGGGGAATTAACAGTGCAGGAGAAGTAAGACTGTCTACATATCTATCTATCTATCTATCTATCTATCTATCTCTTCTCTCTCTCAGCATACAGCATGTTGTAACATAGCAGAACTTGTATTGTACGTGTTATGACACATGTCTGTCGCAAACCCCTCGTAACTGATACGCTGGGTGCCACGATTCCATTCTAAGCTGGTCTATTCTATTGACCTGCATGCTGCTGTGACTATCGACATTGTCATCGCTACTACTGCACCACAACCGCCCCGTCATCCCCACCTCCACCAGCACCACCACCGCCTGTTCAATCTTGCCCTCGCCATCATCACCAATGTCGTCGTCATCGTCGTCGTCGTCCGTCACCTGTGACCCTCGCCACCGCCTCCACCAGCAACATCACCATCATCGTCTAGTCATTCTTCATCCTTGCCGTCATCATCATCGACATCTAAGTCGCCAAGTTCACCGGGGTATACGGCCGAGGAGCTCACAGCGGAAGTTTCGCCATTCTTGGACCACCTGCCGAGAACGATTCTTCGTTTCCATCTTTGCAGTGATTTACAGTGTCATCGTGTTGCAAGGCTACTGAGCACAAGTAACAGTACGATTACTCGAACAAGTGCAACACCGATACGTTTGGTTTCATCACCCATCTCGATCAGATGGCCTTAACAGGCCCAGCACGCGTCACTGTGCCCAGGATTCGCACCAGCTGCCCTTCATCCGCCACTCGCAATTGGGACACGGATTGCCTGGCAAACTCTCGTCCCGGCCTCGAGCACAAGATCGTCACATCAACATCAGGTTCAAGTTCCACGGCACATGCGATACAAGGATGTGTCAGATCCTACTATGTCCTCCCAAATCGAAGCGAGCGACACATGCACCAGACGTGCACGAAGCGTTAAGGCCGGGCTCGAGGGCTTGTCGGCTGCCAGGGCTTTTGCAGCCTGCTCGACTGCGCCGTTCAGAGCGCTCACCAAGCTGGACCATCCCTTCCTGAGAAGACGATAAGATCCGGGAACTTGTTCAAAGAGATCCAAAGCTTCCACGACCAGCTCTGCTTTCGCGCACCGAGAGGGCCCCTTGTCACGTGCCAGGAGATCAGTGATTTGCTGTGCTGGCTCTCCAGAAGTGAAGAATTGCACCAGCTCTGCAGAAACTTCGTCCGAAACATCTGGAGCCAAAGGCTCTGCCTGTCTTAGCGGCACAAGCAACCCATTCTCGCCCATCATGAGAGCTTCGGAGTCACATGTGCTGGGTTTGAAGGCCCATGTCTCACACGCCAGGAAGCCATGGCTTCAGCATGTCGCTTCCTTGCAGCGTTTTTGAAACTGACTGCGATTTCTGTTGTTCTTCCCATGTAGAAGCTCGAAGAGGAGGGTGCTGGCATTTCTCAGCTTACTCTGCTGTTTGGCTTGCCGCACGACGAACCTTGCACAAGTTGTCGGCGGTCGTTGCTCATGTTTCTAAATGACTCACCCCGGCGGACAGCGCAAAGGCGCCGGACAGCACAGCTTGCCCAAAGACGGTTGGTGCGGCAACGTCCTGTTAAAAACCAACAGGAGCGACCAGCACAAATACGATTGCAACCTGAACGCAAAGCCCTTCATCTGGCAAATTGCACAGGCGGTGCCTCGAATGGAAACTCAACAGTTCAACGAACCACGAACACAAAGCAGCAGGGCACTTCATCGGCATGCCGTTGTTCTTGGCATACGTCTGCAACTGAGACCTCAAAACGGCAAGCGAGAACACAGCACTGCAAGCAGGAGAAAGAAAAGCCAAGAAATGGTGCATCACAGGCCTGCCTGGGTTCAAGGTACTTTCCCCTGTCGCTTGAATGCACCCAGATGTGGCTAGTGCTGCCACCGATCCACGACTGAAAAGAGGTCCACGATTTAGAAGCCTCCCCTTTAAAGGGCGAAAAGGCTTCCAGCGGAGTAACAAGCAAGTTCCAGGATCTACAGCTGTCGGCCACCCGCAGTGTCGCGGTACCTGTTCTGTGGAGATCCTAGACAATGGCAGAAAGGCTTCTTCGAAGCCCTCAAAAGCAATATGCTAAGACCGAATGGCCAGAAAATTCTCCACGTGCTCTAATTGTTAAAGACTCTGTGATTGCTGGCAGCTAGAAAGAACTGGTTCGAGAGTGTGAAGCTCCGACTTGGGTGCTGCGAGGCTGCGCCAGCAATCAAGCGAAGGCATGTGGAGAAACCAAGCTGACGCACGAAAATCGGCTTGGTGAAGAGCTGACTCTGCTGTCTTGAATGGTCTGCACTGTATTGAGAGGCAGCAGAGCAGATCCACAAAACTCAACAGCCTTCCACCGGGGGCGTACAGAGCTCCAAGCGAAGGGGTTAGCTATGACGATGATCCACGAGGGACGGAAGACAACGCACAGCACAAGGCTGTTGAATGCACATGACCAGATCGGCATGCGATTTTCGTGAAATGGCTCGCGTCAGGGCGCCAAAAGACACTGCACACGACTTCGTCGTGACTGCTCCCAACATGCCTAGAACATGGAGAGAGCTTTGCCTACAGCATTACCCTGATCAAGCCAAGGATGTTCAAGCGCTTCATCGGCAGAAGGTCGATCGTCAGGCTCCAGGCTCATAAGCTGTTTACCTAGTCTTTCAAGCGAGTCAAGCGCCACTGGCAACTGCAGCCTTCCAACTAGTGAATCCCGAGGGGCAAAAATCAGCGGCCAAACCGTTCTCTTTGAAATCCTTCTCCCAGTTCAGGTCTGCCTGTCTCACTGTCTGAGGAATCATAGGCTGAGAACATCTGAGCAGGAACGGCGCCTGCCGCAGCTTGTCTGCGATCTCATGCATCTTCGGAGAACCGACCTTCGAACAGCGGCTAGCGAAAGGAGCGATGCCAAGTCCGCCAAGTCTCTGACATAGTTCTCGCCGGGCTTGTCATCAAAGACCTTGTGCCTTGTCCAGGAAGCTACGAGTAGCTAATCACATCCACAAATGGGCACAGTGGCTGGCGGCCATGTCGTGCCACACGCAAGTATTTGAAACTCACGCCGAACGGCTGGAACGGGAATTTCCTGCTGCACAGGATGTACCTGCAAGGGCAAGCCCCACACAGCACTCTGACACTGGCATCATGTGCTGCATCTAACCGTGGTGAAGCAGGAAAGGCATTCTGCGACATCTTCTCCTTTCCTATGCTTTGGCTAGTGAGCGTAGGAGCACAGCACCCAATTTTCTCCCGCACAAACCAGACCCATATTGCAAGCCAGGATCTCCTCGAAACATGGGCCTTGGGACTTGTTCGATGCTGAGGTTTGGGGAGGTTACCACGAAGGCCTCATCCCCGGGGGGCACGCGATGACTCCAACCGCGAAGACGTCGGAGGCCTGCGAGTAGGTGCCCTCCTTGGCATGCAGAACGCATCACAAGGAAAGGACAACGCACTTGCTAAAACAACGCCTATGCTAGACCCTAAACCCTAACCTTTGCACAGCTGAACCCGAAACCTCTGAACCCCAAGCTCCGAAACAGATCAACTGAGCAGCATAAGCCTCCGGTGCGATGTACTGGTCTGTGCCCACCTAAGCGGAACTTTTCTGAAGGGAGACCCACCATGGGAGCTTGCTTGAATCGACTCCTTCATTGACCATGAGCTTCTTGAGGGACGGTCGCACAAAAAAGAAGTGAATCTCCGCCCGACCATCGCTGCACACGCTCCCTCGAAAGATCTTCCAGAAACTACAGGCAGCTCTTCCTTCCTCTCCCCTCTTCTTTCAGGCTGTCCTCTTTCGTGGCGGATCCCCTCTTTCGCTCCCCTTTCTAAGGCTTTTTGCTCATGTCTGAGCCGAGGCGCGATGGTCACCTTGCGGCCTGGCCTCGGTTCCGATTCTCAGGTTCTCCCTAGAGGGCTTGAGGACGTTCAGTCTAGGATGCCTGAGGGATGAGATTGCAGCGAGCGCTGTCTCGCCGAGCAACGGTATGCCACTGCCTCCATCTGGCGTCTGGATCGTGTCGAAGTCTATGATTTTGATCTGGGCCGGTATGATGTGAGCCAGATCGCTTCAAACAGGGTCTGTCTCAAGTCTTCAGCTCCCAGCAAGGATGTCACCCCTTCTCACTCGTGACAGCATCACGTTTTCCAGCTTGATGTCCCTAGCGCGATCATCATTGCAAGGCTGTGTGTACCAAGAGCTACCCCAACGTGTCAGCTGCGGGCGCCTGTGTATGCAAGTCTTGTGCAAATCACGAAGCCCGGAAAGGAGCTGACGAAGGACTTCCTGCGAAGTCTATCCACATTCTAGCTTGCAGAGGAGCAGGCCCAGCTGACCTTCGATGGAACAGCTCGAACTGCCTGACCGCTGCACTCACCCCGACGAAGGTCCTTAATATCGTCCTCAGACAGCATCTCTTTTCCTGTCAGCACCTGACCGTCTTCGAATGCTGGAGCAGACTTCATGCATGCAAAAGCTTCCGAGTGTAACCTTGGTTCAAGTATGCTGCCACATGAAAACTACACGACAATTGCTGTGACGAAGACGAAAAAGACGACTTCCCGTTCGCTGCTTTCCTGAGCTGCAACAGTTTGATTGCGGTAGGAGCCGATATTGCAATCCACAGAACAAGAAAAAAACCTGCACGCAGTGTCGTTACAAGCGGCGAGCATCAACAGTAGAATTCGATCAACATGTGTGTACGAAGGCCAATCGCAATGCATGACTGTAAGAAAGCCAACAGCAACGCATGCGTCGAAAGTTCAATACTCCCGTTAGCGCTGCCCTTTCTTGACATGCCAAAGCCTAAACTCCTACCCAGACCCCCGGGAGGATCTAGAAAGTAGATCCCCTAATTTGGGGCCCTATACCACTAAGGGTACTTTATAAGAACGCCCATTAAGGGATCTACTGTTTGGATCCTCCCGGGGGTCTGGGTACAGAGCAACCCCAAACACCTCAACTCTAGACTAGACCCACAAAACCAGAACTATCGCCAACCCTAAACCCCTAAACCCTAAACCCTAAACCCCTTTTTCGTAACTTGAGACCTCATAGAGATCCTGGCCGGTCACTCGTTCCATGCTCACCTTGCCATGAAGCTGAGCTGCGATGTCAATAATTTTTAAGGGGCTAAGGCATAAAGTGGGGGGGGTAGGGTTTAGGGTGTAGGTTTGGGGATAAACGCCTTCAAGCTCAACTTCCGAAATGTTCCGACATGTCAATGTCAGGTCGGGCTTTGCTGTTCAGACCCAAGAGGCATAGTAGGCGAGCTTGTCCTCGTAGACTTGCAGAATGTTGCAGAGGAATCTACTCCTCTTCAGCCGCAGCATAACTTCTGCATTCTCTCTCCAGAGTTTCCTTGGGGAGCAGAGGTTGAGAATCGCAGAGTTTGCACGAAATCTTGGAGATCCGCGTAGTAGCACTATCGAAGGACACAAGCACCAGAAGAATGCCCTTGCAGGCCAAGCGACTCCTCGCCACTCAAGGCGAAAAACGTCTTCTGCAGAACCTGTGTCTTCGGAGGCGAACCTAGACTAATGTATTCTACAGCCGAACACCCCTTCCCCCTGCTTGCAAGGAGCTTTGACAACCACTGGATCGTTGTTGTCAACCTCAGGGGTATGAATGGTCCCGCAAGCAAACCACGCAGTCCAAGCTGGCTCCGGCACGAACCAAAGCAAACTAAGATTTGGGCTCTTCTTGCATACAGCACCTGACCACACACGCGTCTTGCCCTTGCATTCTTCAGGATTGGTGCAGCTCTAGGTCTGCGGTCACGAAGTACACCCCTCCATCTACAACTTGCCTTCACGTGCTCGTTCGAAGGAGGCTGGACTTGCTGCTTCAGGACCTGGACATGCACAGGTTTGCTTCAAGCCAGACTCATAGACTGCTTGCCGGGGCACGAAAACGTCATCAATGCTGGAAACTTTCTGTATGCCGGTGCTTTCGTGAAGGAAAGTCCCGGCCATGTTGGCCTCATTGAGCGAAGCCAGGAGCGGCAGGTGAGCTGCCAACGAGACACGAATTGCCGGCCGAATCTGGCTGTCAACGGATGCGGACAGGGCACACAGGCCTTTGTCAGCCCTTTGGCAGTACCCTGAAAAAGCCCAGTGCTCATTGTCTGCACCATGGGCGCCAGAGACTGCGAGAACTCCCCTTCCTCGATCTTGTCGAGGGGCATCCTGACAGGAAAGTTCTGGCCACTCCGAAGAAGGGTTGCAGCTTTAGTGCTTGGGGCTTCTCACGGATTCTTCGGTAATTACATGCAACGGTTGCCCGCCAGCGCCAGCTCTCATGTCACGTCTGTCCTCAAGTTCCTACGGTAAGCCTTCAGGCTCAAGTCCGAAAGGCCCTCTACCCCAAAGGGCCCCAAAGGGCCCCTGGCATCGGAGAGTGCTCTCTGGTCCTGTTTGGAAGCGACTCCTCGGGCGCCTGGCGTGGCAAACGGACGGGATTGGGCTCTGGAATTGGCTTAGGATGTGTGGGTTTCAGACGACCACGGGACCTTACAGCACGTTACTGCTACTGCTGTCGCAGTAGTGATGGTGGTGGTGGTGGTGGTGGTGGTGGTGGTGGTGGTGGTGGTGTTGATATGTAGTGATAGTAGTGGTTGCGGTAGTAGCAGCAGCAGGAGGAGGAGCAGGAGCAGAATTAGCAGGAGGAGCATGAGGAGTAGGATTGCAGGAGGAGCAGTAGGAGCAGTAGGAGCACAAGGAGCAGTAGGAGCGGTAGGAGCCGTAGGAGCAGCAGGAGCATCGTAGTAGTAGTAGTAGTAGTAGTAGTAGTAGTAGTAGTAGTAGTAGTAGCCAGCGGCGTGTTTACCGTACCCGTGAAATCGGCTCCTGGGGACTGGGGGGGGATAATAACGACATGGTTGACCGTAAGCAGTAACACAGTAGCGCCGGTAGCAGTAGCAGTGGTAGGATGCTTGTAACAACGTGTCTTGCTCCACATTCTTGCGCAGCATGTACAAAAAGCCAAAAATGCTGTAAATACCAGTGTTTTGGGCATGACCGCCAAAGGCAATCACATGAACATTAACCTGACCATCTTCATCATAACCACCATCCTCGCCATCTTCAACATCATCGTTAACTGCATCACCGGCCTTATGTTGATGATTGCGACGATTATGAGGATGATGATAGGGATGATGACTATGAGGATGATGATGAAGATGATCAGGTAAACGATGATGTTGAGCATGGCGAGGATGATGGTTATGAAGATGATGATGAAGATGGTCAGGTTGATGTTCATGTCACTGCCTTTGGCGATCATGCCCAAAACGCTGGTATTTGCAGCATTTTGGGCTCTTGGTACAACATGCTGCACAAGGATGTGGAGCAAGACACGTTGTCACAACACACGCGCGTAAACCTTTTCGAGCAACGCCTCCCACACAAAACGCAAAACAGCCTTGTCATTTGCGTACTTCCAAAATACACTGAAATAAGCACGCCACCACAGCGGCAGCTGCGTTTTTCAATATTTAGGGGTACGGTAAACACGGTGGCGGGTAGTAGTAGTAGTAGTAGTAGTAGTAGTAGTAGTAGTAGTAGTAGTAGTACTAGTAGTAGTAGTAGTAGTAGTAGTAGTAGTAGTAGTTGTTGTTGTGATAGTAGTAGTAGTAGTAGTAGTTGTAGTAGTAGTAGTAGCAGCAGCAGCAGGAGTAAGAGTAGGAGTAGGAGTAGGAGTAGGAGTAGGAGTAGGAGTAGGAGTAGGAGTAGGAGTAGGAGTAGGAGTAGGAGTAGGAGTAGGAGTAGGAGCAGGAGCAGGAGTAGGAGTAGGAGTAGGAGTAGGAGTAGGAGTCGGAGTTGTTGTTGTATGATTAGTAGTAGCAGTAGTAGTAGTAGTAGTAGTAGTAGTAGTAGTAGTAGTAGTAGTAGTAGTACTGGTAGTAGTAGGAAAACAACAATCACCACCACCTTTTCAACTTCATATGTTCCGGTCAAAGTGGCTTGTGGCACTGGCGAATGTCCAGGAGACTTCGGTGTCCTGATGTGAAACGCACATGGTTACATGGCTCTCTTCTCCGCAGCGGATGATGTGCAGCCAAGGTGCGCAGAGTCGGTCGATTTTCTGCTAGATCTGGAGGTGAAGTTCGCCCTGCATAGACAGGATCTTTGAACAAAATTGCGCCATCCTCGTCATGCCTGCTGCTTCCAAACAGCAGCTTGCACAATACGCTCCGAACGTCACACATGGCTCGAACGATGTGCCCTTTTCAAGTCACTGTGTGTCAACTACGTCGCGCCGGCCCAGTTCTGTCAGAATCTCTTTCTTCCAAATCGACTACTTAGTAGTGTCGCCGTGATTACAAGGGCTGTACATCTCCTCCTGGCGTCAACCCCGTAAACTTACAGCCCCTAATCAAACACATCAAACTCCGCCACCAAATCCCAAACCCTACACAAACCCGAAACCAAAATCCAAACCCCAAGCCTGAACCCTAGAACCCAAAATCTGACGCATTGTCGCACAAGTTCGCGGTCCCCGCGCAGGCCTCAAAAAAGCCTCAACCAAGCAAGAGGAAGGATCTTGTTCGGGGTCTTGAGGGTGTACCACGAGGCTTGTATGTAATGGTTTGAAAGGGATCAGTGCAGGGTTTAGGGGTCGAGGGTTGCTCCGAGCTTGAGGTTTGGGGTTTAGCGATTATGAACTCAAAGTCCGTGGTGACGAATCCATGAAGCCGGAGTGATACAGCTTTTAGTATGGTATCCTCATGTTTGTCGCTGTTGCTGTAAGCATCTTGGTCGGCATGAGTTCTGCTTGCTCTTGGCCTTCGCATGCCTGGTTGTTCATTCCTGCTCCGCTTCATCTTAAGGCTGATCACTCTCATGGAAACTGCTACTGCCACGACTCTTAGTAGATTCCCTGCATTCCCTAGACAGAAAGCCAGGCAACCCTTGGTCGCAGGAGCAAGGCCCGCGAGGATCTCCGGTGCGCCGAGGGAGACGTGTTCGTGGGGGAATCAGGTCTTGGCTCGCGCACGCCCTCCGTCTCCTTGATCATCCCGAGGGACATGCGCCTGAAAAAATGGGGGGCAGAGAGCTGAGAGCTGTGGCTCTAGGCTCTAGGCTCTAGGCTCTAGGCTTTTGCTTAAGGGCGTAGGTTTTCCTTTTTTTGAGGGCCTTTTTTCAGGTCTATGCACATGGCTTAGCCCAGTTGGGCAGGCTCATGTGGCACATTGGCCACTTCAACTGCTTACGCATCGTTGACAGGATTGCTGAGTCCTCATCTTCCGTTCCCCAAGTTAATTTCGTGTCGATCCCAGCTGCAAAGCGACGTCCCGGGCTTAGGGTTCAGGATTTGGCGAATCTAACTTTCGGTGCCATTGAACAGCTAGTCCTTTAAACTGCCGCACCCTTCGTTCCTGTACGAAGACAGACAGTAAGATGTACAGAGAACAAGGACATCTTGCCCCTCTGTACAGGCCTTCGACTCTGCAGATCGTGCAACAGACTTAGGACTCAAGGTCCAAGAGCTCGAAAAGCACTCGCCAAACCGAAGCAGAACAAAGCTTCCTGAATGGAATTGGGATACTGAGAAGTTGTGCAAAAAGTGGGGAGGCCATTTTTGTTGGGGCTGGTTTTTGTCGGTAACTCAGCCTCCGTGAGTCGGAAGTTTCGGTGACAGTGGAGACAGAAACAAACCGCCTTGGCGAGGAAGCCTGAAGTACCTCTCTCTTGCTAGTTGCAAGAGCAAGGTCTCTCGCTCTCACTCTCTCTGTTTTTGTTACTTGGTTTCGACTGTCGCTCTGCTTCTGGCTCCTCTCTCTCTGACTGTGAGTCTAGCAGAAGACCCTGCGCAACAGAGCATCCTGTGTGGCAGAAGACTCCGTCAAACCTCTAACCCTGTCTAACACAAGACCCTGTCTATCCCCACGCCACGTAATACAGTTGTGTTCAGACAGGCTGCAGGGGTTAAGGGCTTGTGGTCTCGGAATTGCGGGCTGACCTCACAAAAATTTGCGAAAGCAGAGAGATCGCTAAAGCCGTCCAGGCCTGCTCAGCCATTTGAGCGCCATGATCTCGCAGCCCTAAACCCCTACCTCTAACAGCTGGGCAAACATGGCCGCAATGCTCCACCTGTCGCACTCATCATATGCATAGACACAAGGCCAACAAGGACGAGTTGAATCCCAAAAGGCAGCACCCCCATGCCCATTCGTGGAAGCAGCACTTCAACACTGCTTTTGTTTCATGCATGTTCAACCCTTTTCTGCCTCCTCTCCCTTCCTTCTCCCTTGCACCCAGCCCCTGAAACCCAAAGCCCATTCAAAACCTCTCTGGCCCTTTCCTGCGAACCTGATCTGGGGCTCCCGGCGATGTGGGGAACTTACGGTGAAGGATCAGGAAGCCCCGAACTGCTGCATGCGCAGGCTCGCCCTGGCATGGAGTCTGCTGAACCGGATGCTCACATCAGCTCTTCAGCTCTCCGTCTATTTCAGTCATCCAACGATAGGTGGGATGGGAAAACAGAGATGGACAGATAGAAAGCTATAAAGATAGATAGGATACGATACGATACGATGGAACTGATGGGTTCATAGATAGATCGACAGCTGGGTAGATAGTTAGATAGACACATAGATAGATGGGCAGACAGATGAGTGGAGATGTCGATGGATTGGTGGACAGACAGATCGATAGATAGTTGGTGGTTAGATCGTCAGATGGATGGATGGATGGATGGATGGACGGACGGACGGATGGATGGATGGATGGATAGATTCGGCTAGATTGATTCCGATAAGATCTAGATAGATAGGTAGATAGATAGATAGAAAGGTATGTAGCTAGGTCGTTAGGTAGCCGAAAACCAAGCCAGACAGACAGATAGACAAGTGCTCCTCAAAAAGTATGTACACATGTACAGAATGTTGATCTTGGCATGCCTAGACACATGCGTGTTGCATGTATGCATGTATCCTACGGAGGGGGCCTCCGGCAGCAGCTCGCTGGCTGGCTTCGCTGGCGGTGTCTTCAGCAGAAGTCGACTGAGCGGCTTTTCTTCTGCAGGCACCTCCTCCTAACAGGCAAGACACCAAGCACCCGAGCAAACTGGGCAAAGCGACACGAAGCCTCTTCCTCGCCCATGTTCCGCTTCCTCCGCCTCCTGACCAACTCTGGAGCTGCATCTTGGCTGCATTCTACGCACTGCTACGGTTTCAGCCTGGCAAAGTCGTTGTTGCGCAGGACGGCCTCCCCCCACGGGGCTCTCTATGTCTTGCTCTCTCCAGCCCATCGGTCGCTTAACGGCAGCTGAGGCATGGTCCCGATCGATGAGGTTGCGCCAGTGCGCATCGCTGCAAAAGAAGCCCAGCCTCTTCGCGCACCCCCACCCAGCACTCAGATGCGGCCTTGCCGCGCCATGCTGCGCCTGAGGATGGCTTCGTTCTTCTCCAGCAAGTGGCCAAACGCCTCTTCCACCGGCCTGGAGGGCGATCTGCGCAGACTCTTCCATTTTCAGTGGATTCTTGTCGCCCACCTGCCAAAGGAATTGCCCACCTGCTTCTGCTGCGCCACGCGCAACGTCTCGATTTTACTGGCGCAGCGGATGCCCACCACATGCATGCTGACCACGACACTTCGCACTGCTGCGCGGCTCCTGCTTGGATTTTCCATTAGATTGGTGGCCTGAGCTCTCAAAGTGCAAACATAAGATCTTGCACAGGTTTTGTACCTTGGAAGGCCGCGAACGGTAAGGCTGCGACCAAGTCTTTGACGGAGGCAGAATCTAAGCAGTTATTCCTCAGCAAGCAGTCGTCCATCTATGCTTATGTCCACGATTTAGGATTGAGGGCGAACTTGGGCAAGCACTCGAGGTTGAGGTGCAGCAAGGTCTTGTTCCTGAGCTTGCAGAGTGATCCCTTCGCAGCAGGTGAGAGACGTGGCGGACCCTGGTAACCCTTTTAACTTGCAGCCAAATCTCGTTTTCAATGACTGTGCCAGCACGACACCTTCAGCCTTTGCGTCACATTGGTTTACTGCACCTGCTCGACTCTGACTTGCTTTGCAGGGTCCTTCTGCAAGTTGGAGTTCACCAGCGACAAGGTCTGGATGTTGGTGTTCCATGCCATCGCCTGCCATGGCTCGACAACGACACACCCCGTAGCAATCACAAAGCAAGGCGATAGACGCTTCCAGACCTTCGCCAGCTTTGGTGCTATCCGCTCCTGCAGAGCCACAGAAGCTTTGAAAGCCTGCTGTCTGGTGCCTCCTCGCCGGCCTCGAGGTCCCCTCGTGGCATGTGCAGGTTGCTGAAATCGAAGTCGGTCAAGGTGGGATCCTGCACAAACTCGCTGGATTCCACGTGCCAGCCCGAAGAAACCTCAAAAGACGCCACGGCCACTAACCAGGCTGCATACAACTCACCACACCACGTCTCCATGACTGACATGCTTCGGTCATCCAGGTGCGCACGGTGCACCATCCAGATCATCCTGAGCTGTCTCCGCTGTAACTCATACCGCTGTCGTGCCACGGGGTTCTCGATGTGGAGTACTCCGAACAAACGGAACATCAGTACCAGTAGTTGCTCGTAATGCAACTTCTGCGAACACTCGGAACACCACCTGGTCTCGACACGTCTCGTGTACCAATCATTCACGTGCAGCGCAAAGTAGCCAGTAGCTGGACTGCGAAGATTGGCAACACGTAAGACATAGCTGAGTCTTCTGTAGGGCCTACAAAGCCCGATAAAAAGCGCCGGGGGAAAGACGCTGGAGACCAAGGAAACGTGCGACTCAAGGCCCGCACCAGTCTCCGAATGACTTGGCCTTGCCATGGGGCTTGATCCATGAGCATACTCCAGAAACTCCTCATGTTTACGAAAATGTCACAAAACTTTCTGCACGGCCGTCCCATCTGGGTGCTGTGGTGTTGCATATGCAGGAATCCATAGAACCAGCCACAATTTAGGTGTGGATTCTAACCGGTCTAACCTAGGTGTTTTTAACGCCTGCAGCGTTGGCCTTGGCAGGCTCTTCGATCATGTCAGAGATGTCCTCGATCGCCTGCAGCTGAGACAAGCGAGAACATTGTAACGTTTGATAAGACCGAGCTTCTTCTTGCCACGGCCAACAAACCGAGATCTGTTCGTACTTGGGGATGAAACCCTAGATCCCAAATCCTATATAACCCTAAACCCTCTAAACTTCCAACCTCCCCTTAAACCCTCTAAGGCCCTAACCTGAACCCAAAAGGGGGTTCGTTGAAGGGTGCATCGACTCCCCGAGGAGCGAACCCCCGCGGGTGCCTGGCCTCGATCTTCGCTGCCAGCTTCTGGTCGATGCCCGCTGCGTCGACAGTCTGCACTTCTTGCACCTCTCAGTCTCGGGGGTTTTGGACTTCGAGTTGCGAGGCGCTATAGAGCTAAAAGAAGCTGCCTGAAAGGTGAGATCTGCAGTCGTGCTGCCAGAGGCGTTCGAGGCACTCAACACGTACCTGACACAATGCAGCGAACCATGTTTGAGACTCGCAATGTGCACACAGAGCGCGTCGGGAGCACGTGGTCTCGGGTGACCTTACACAGACTTCCAACAACTTAACGCCAATGATTTCGTGCTCGAATGCCAACGACATGTGGAGCCGTCAGACTTGCAACAACAAGTAGAAAGGAACAACGCAGCGACCTCAGTACTGCCACGACAACAACCACAACCACTAGTAGCACTACCATCACAACCACTGCCATCAACTGCATGGCTCCTCCAAATCGAGACCATCATCATCGTCGTCATCAACATCCGCATTAGCATCAGCATCAGCATTAGCACTGTCAACCACGACCACAACAAAAACCTGAAAACATCAGCATCAATATCAACACCATATCACCATCATCATAATCATCATCAACAACAACAACAGCAGCAACAACAACAACAGCAGTATCAGCGGCAGCATGATCATCATCATCACCATCATCTTCATCATCCTCATCGTCATTATCGTCATCATTAGCTTGTCGTCAGCATCACCATCGATACCATCATCAACAACAACATGACATAGTCATAATACTAGTAATCATCTTCATCCCGCCGTCGTCATCGTCTCCTTGATTACGTCGCCACCGCCACCAGCCCCACCACCGCCACCACCACCACCACCACGACCACCACCACCACCAAATTTTAATAATCAATCGCCACAATCGTTCCAATCATGACTTAGGAATAAGACTGATATCCATCTGCAGTCATCGGACGAACAGTGCAGGAAACATGGCTCTCACAATCTAGGCCCTCACTCTGCCACAGGCTGTCCACTGATCACACCCGTCGCGGGATCTAGCGCCAGGCCCTGCAAAGCCAGGGAAGTGGCTGAGATGCTCTGAACGTGGTAAGTTTGTCTCCGTGGCTCTTGCAGGCTGCACAACTTGTAAGGGATCAGATTGTTGCACAGGCTGCCCGGACATGAACACAATGACTCCACACTGTGAGACACTGCAGCCTCAGGCAAGGAGGGCTCCACTGCGAATGTACAGCCTTCAGACCTCTGTGCATTCACGCAGCACATGCTCAGTCATCGGAAGCTTGAAAGCGACATGGCCGGTCGACAGATGTCCAAGCACGCAGCCCTTCGAGGTCCGGCTCGATCGACATCGGCTCGCCCACGGCGTAGGATGAACTGCAATGGAGAAGAGGTCGTGCAAAGGCTTCGTCTTGGTTTGGGTGTTGCTTGTCCTTTGCCTCGCCATTGGATAAGTCAAGTTCTTGGGAGCAGGGAGCACCTGAGTTAGGCTTTAGGGTTTGGCTTAGGGCCTAAATCTCCCAATGGTCATAAAGGCCCTGGCCACGGCGAAGCTCAGCTCTGCCGATGTGTGTCCATCCTCGCGAGGTTCAGCACAGCTCAGGATTCAAGGAAAGCTTCTGGCAGGCATTTGGGACGGATCCGGGCTTCAAACTCGGAACAAGGACAGCTTCTGGCAGGAACTTGGGACGATCCCGGCTTTATACTCGGCCCAAAGAAATCTTTTCCGGGCTTCAAACTCAGCCCGAAGAAAGCTTCTGGCAGGCATTTGGGACGGATCCAGGATTCTCGAAGTGCACTCTGGTATCCAGCCCCCCCCCCCCGCCACCGGCTTGTGGCCACCTGAAACCAGGGGAAGATCCCAAGATTTGGGGTCCAACGTCAAAGTCTCTTATTGCGGTCCTCCCCGGAGGCCGTCACCACATACGTCTGCTCACCACACAGGGCGGAGAAAGCACCAGTGATGGCACCTGTCATTCCAGAGCCCTCCCTAAGGTTTTGGGGCCTGCAGACTCAAATCTTGGAAAGATGTCAATACGCCGATGTGGGAGGCGAGACACAAAATCTGGCCTCTCTCCCCGTACTAGCCTTGTGGAACTTGCCTTCCATGGATTACTGAACAAGCTCTATGTCTGAAATGACCCTCTCTACTTCAACTAAGTGAGACAGTGAAGCTATTCCTTCAATCCTTCTGTACCAGGCCAAACTCAACGCATGCCACAGCGCACCCGTGGTCTCATCCAGGCTCACTCCTTCAGGAAGTGCCGGCTCCTTACCATTGGAGGACCCTATCTATTCAATCCGAGTCCTCTAAACCGTGCGAGGTTTGGGTCATTCCTTTGCAGACGATGGAAGAACGGACACTATGGACGGATACGATCTTGCGTCTGCAGTGCAAACTGACTCCGGGAAATTCAATGAAATCTACAATCAAGTCTCAATGCCGTGAGCTCTGCGCTCGGGAGTGTTGCTGTTGTGTTGCTTCCTACGGCGCCCTGTAGCAGCCTTGCTCGCAGCTGATCATTTCTAGCCTGTCGCTTGCATTGCAAGTCTTCAACGTGTTGGTGCAAGTGACGACAACAGGTTCAGCTAAGGGTTGATGGCTGCGGATGGTAGGACTCAGGGTTAGGAAGACATGACGATGTGAGAACTCGAGAACCTTCCATCGTGAACCTAAGTTCCTGGCCACTGCAAAGCTTCTCACAGCGCCTTGAACCTGCGGGTAGCACAAAGCTGAACAGAAGCAGGCGGCAACAAAGAGTAAGCTTGCGCCAGTCCACAGGATTAAGGTACCATGCGCGACTATGAAAAGCATCTGTGCGGGACACGAACTCTTCTTTTCGCTGCATCTTCAAAGCCGGCTTGCGTGCCAACTGCATCACAAGCAAGGGCTAGCGGCTAGTCCGCGATGCGATGGTTTCACGTGGATGACGTCTCGACGCTTCAACCGCGGATGACGTCATCAGGTCTCGACTCTGTAGTTCGACTCTCAAGGGGACGACAGCGTGAGCTTGTAGTCCAAACCTGACAGAAGACGGAGCCATCTGTACTGATGTGATGTTCAGACTGGATTCGATTTCGTCCTTACATGACACACGTGCCAGTGCAGAGTCTTAGCGCTGCAACCCAAGCTAACAAAAGGCAGCGTACCCCAGAAGTTCCCACAGTTGTAGTGCAGGGCTTAGCGGCTGTGGTTGATCAGCTCGGAGAAGCGAGCGATGGTCTGCGCAGGTCGCGACCAGAACCATATCATTATTGATGTTGTTGCTAGTCGCTTTAGTCTCATGCCCACCAACGGCACCGCCAGCGTGCTCAGCAACATGCCACATGACTCTCTAAGAGTTGAAGAAGGTCTCTTTAACTAGGCTGCGCACAAACTGACGGCTTCTGGCTGCACTGGCCTGGCGGCCGATGTTCTTCTTGAGAGTCCCTGGCACAATCTTGTTGATGAACCTTAGGATACAGCGCACCCGAAGCCCAGAAGCGAAAGCATCCCATGATGGGCCACGATGAGCCCGCACGAAAGTAGCAGAGACCTTGCTTCCTGGGATCACTCACTGACAGTTTCAGCCATGCCTCAGGAGCGGGCCTGCCGAGAGTCATGCTGGGTCTTGCCTTCGGAATTGCCATGTGGGAGCCACTTCTTACGACTTCAACTAGAGCTCACGTACCAAGACCCCCGGTTCCAAAGTCCCTGCACGCAGCAGAGGCAGCAAACTTCCTCGAAACTAACTTCATTGAGGACCACATGAAAACGCACCGGCTGCTGGCAGGTCGGCACTAGGATCATCACTCGTATTACTGGCATTCGTCTTCACGCAACGATTCTTTCCTACTTCTGACTACTGACAGCACTGCCTCCAAGCTGCAGTCGTTCTCATCAATCCAGTGGTAGTGAAGTTTTTGCTCTTACCACAAGACTTGCCAATACGAGTGCTAACAGAAAGCCGCAGGCCAAAGCGGCCGCAAGCACTACAGGCTCCACTTGCGTCGCGCAGCTTACCCTGTCACACTCCGGAAAACTTCGGATCTTGTGCGAAGGGCTGGAGTACCCGAGATCGAGATGTTTGGTACCTTTTGCAACCACGATACAGCCCTTAAAAGGCCTCGTTGACCTCTTTCTAAGCCCTAAACCCTAAACCCTAAGCCCTAAACCCTAAATCCGAAACCCTAAACCCTAACCCCGGACAAAGCAACTGAAAACTGGAAGATCCCGAGCCCGGAGCCAAGTCCGAAGGTGGCGTCGGCATCCTCGTCGCTATGCAGTTTATTTCCTTGTTGCTACAAGGATTTGGGGCTTGGGGCTCTTTTGGGGGTTATGGGATTTCCGCATGGATATTGTATCATGCTGGAGCATGTCGCATCTATCTGCCGGTCCATCTATCTAACTATCTGTCCGGTTATCGATGCGTCGATCTACTTATGTGAGTAGCTATCTACCTATCTCTGTGTGATTACATTAGTCACAGGAATGTCTTGATGCCATATGTCCAGATTCTAAGCCTAAACCCGCAACCCCCAAACCCCTAAACCCCTTGCTAAATCTGAACCCCAAACCCCCCAAAACCCCTAAACCCCAAACCCTTGAACCCCTAAATCCCCAAACCCCAAACCTGCAAACCCCCAAACGCGCCCCTAAACCCCTAAATCCGTAAACCCTCACCCCTCTAAACCCCTACAGTAAACCCCTGAGACGCAAAGCTGCAACTCAGCCCGGAGCTTCAAGTCGAAGTCCACCTCGGCCTCCAGCTTCCCTCAGTCCACCGGGCTCAGGGGCTTTGGGGTTTGGGGGGCTTTCAGGGGTGTTAGGCTTTATAGGGTTTGGGGGGCTTTCGGGGTGCGGGCTTTAGGGTTTGGGGTGGCGTTGTTTTCTTTTTCTGTGGGCGACACCACCGGAGACACCCGCTGCCAGCGTTTGGGTTTTAGGGTTGAGGGGTCTAGGATTCAGAGGGTTTAGTCCACCGGGACTTTGCGATCAAGTCAGCGGGGACTGATCAACTGAACCCTTGCGGGGTTTACGGGAATTAGGATGTGTGTTGGGGGGTTTAGGGCAAGGGTTGAGAGTTTAGAGTCTGTGAACATGTTACGTGAAGAATGGCCTTCTATCGCGAGTATCCCAAGCAGGAACACCACAGACTCACCAATACAGAGTGATAGAGCGATAGAGAGCGAGACAGAGACGCACAAACGGATACATGGAAGTACTGCCCGACAACTGTGCAGCGGGCCCGCGCGGGTGAGGACCTCATACAGGCCCAGGAAGAAGACGAAGAACTGGTCGTCCACCTAAGACTCCAAGGTGAATTGACCAAGTCACGTCAAGTCGTCGCCGCTCAGGAAGAAACCAATAGCCTGCATCCTAAAGCCCTCAACCAAAGACCCCCAAATCCTGTCCCAAAGCCTTAAAATCTTGAAGCCCTGAACCCCAAACCTCTGAAGCCTGCATCCTAGCCCAGAGGACAGGAGTCAGGAGAGGAGCTCCTCTTTCCAACCCGAGGCGCACGCCGCCTCGGCCCAATTGGCCTCGGCTGGGGGGAGCGGTCTCCGAAATAGAAACAGAAGTAATAAACTATCAAGACATATCAAGACTATCGGATCGAGACCAAAGATATCAAGCAAGTCATGAGAGCAGTAGGAACAAGAGTATGAATAGCAATCAGCATCCTCCTGCTGCGGGTGTAGCCTACGGCCTCTGGTGCTCTGAAGCACTCGATTGAGAAGAAGTGGAAGAAGAGCAAAGGATCCGGAGGTAGTCTCTGAATGAAGGCTCGCCGACTGTCCCCTCCCTTGAGACGGCTAAATAAAAAATCCCTCGCCTCGGGAGATACGTTGCAACCTGTCCAGATTCGGACATTTTCGGACGAGATGCCACAGGCAGAAAGTCCAGCTGATGCATGAGCTGGTAGTTCAAGGCTACCTCAGGACGCTCGAGATCTGGCGGCATAGGGACAGAAGTCCGCGAGGCTCTTGCCCAGAACTCTTCAGCAGTCAGCACTAGCTCCTCGTTGTCGATGACCTGCATACCAGCACAGAGACGCCCTCGAACCGTCGAAGCTGATCATGAGAAAAAGCTCCCAGCGCGGTGGAAGGAGATGGATTGCAAAGTCTTCGGCCTCGGACATGTCACCCTCATTCCACAAGGAAAACCTCCATCGCATAAGATCTCACATTGCCTAGATACTTCTAATGATGACCCCTGGTATTATCAGTCTTCACTTTCCGCATACCAGTGATCCCAATGATAGCAATAATGACCGCAACAATAACATAGCACTACCAACAATAGTGAAAAGAATCATCTTGCATTCCAAAGAGCAGGGTTTCAGCGCCGGCCAAGAGCCTGGCTCCCGGGTTCAAGGCCCACCAAGTCTCGCAAAGCTCCGAACTCTCCGGGGCACTCGTCCATCAACTGCCCATGGTAGAGAAGTCGCAGGATGCTTGGGAAAGCCTCGCAACGCTAAGAACGCACGCAGCCGACGACAGCTCGATGTCATAGGAAAAAGGGAAAAGAGCCTCGATCTGCTTCATCTCCACCTCGTTCAGCAGCTCGCGAAGCTGCGGTATCTTCTCCTGACACCGCAGTACTGAAGAAAGCTGCGGATGACATCCGCTCCGTTTTTCGATGCGCCATCCTTGCAGACATGGGGCCTTCTCCATGGGAAAGTAGTTCGTCCCCACACCTTGCAGGACATCGATGCGGGAGGATCTTGGCAACTTGCCAGAAACTCTCTCAGGCGCACCCAGTATGCTGTGCAGGAACATCACCCGCGGCCTCGGTGAACACGTCACTGCCAAGGAATTCGGCTCAGAGCACGGCACGTCTCTTCCGGGTTTTTTTATGCTCGCAGGTCAACACGACTTCGACGCGCCGGTTCCCATCGCTTTCAGCTCCGTGGGCCAGGCGAGTGCCCCTTGAAGTGCGCCATGCTGTACTCGAAGCAAAACCTCTGCGTCTCCGGCCCCCCCCAACCCCTTGGATTCTGTTCACTTCCCCTTGCAAAATATAGGGGACCCTTATTATAAGAACCCCCAAAAAAGTAGTATATACAGTACCCTAAACAGTAGGATCCTTATTACAAGAACCCCTAAGTAAGGTACCCCGAGACTCGCACCTGAGGTGATCCATGAAGCTGCCATCCTCGGTGCAGGGCGCGGCCCCAGACTGCACGCGGACAAAGAGCATCAGATTATATTATCATTACTATTATTATTAATATTAATATTATTATTATTATCATTATTATTATTACTATTATTATTATTACTATTATTATTATTATTATTATTATTATTATTATTATTATTTTATCTTTATTATTATTATCATCATTATTATTATTATTAATATTATTATTAGTAGAGTTGATGAGGCTCCGACAGCATGCTCCATGCAGAAGTTGCACTCGGTCTGCATAAACCTTGAAGCTCAGCATTCGGGGCTTCTTGTAGGGCTCAGGCTGGAGGATGTGGGGTTATATACGGTTTGGGGCTAGAGAGGTCGAGGTCAGGGAGCACCACCGCGACACCAACAGGCATCGATGGAAGCACGAGGCGAGCTTGGAGCCAAAAAATGAAGCACCACAAGGCAGCTGTCTGTGATGCTCTGATCACTCAGGTGTGTTCTTAATTCAAAGGTTGCTCGGAAAGTCTGAAACCCAGACCTGCTCCCCTGGCTTCTGTAGTTTACTGAAGCCCACAGGTATGACTACCGTGATGCTCATCACAAGTTAAATCCTCGCTGTTTAATCTTCCACCAGAGGCTGCAACTCGACACAGGCCCGGAAAAAGATTCAAAGTCAAGGCACTCGAGGATGGGCGCATCGAAACGAGGCGCTGCAGGCACCTCGCACGAAGCACAGATGCCAAGACAGTACAATGGCCCTCGCAGCAACCCCGAAAGCAACCGATGTAGAACCCAGACAACCCTACAAACACTGAAGATAATCCTGTCTCCGGAGCCTTGTTGAAAGACTCGGAAATCTGGGTGGTAGATCGATCCGACCAGTAGACTTCCACCGAGAGTCGCTCCTGCCATCAGCCCCTCGCAGACCCCTTGACGAGACTTCAATTAAATGAATGAACTCAAGCGTTCCAGATGAAGCGTGGACGGCTCTTGCGCCGCACTTGAACGTTCCGGACTGCGACATTTTCACTGTGCATTGATGCACCCTTTGTCAGCTTCATTCTCTGTGTGCCTTTGGGCCCGAGTTTCACGCCACTAAGCTCCCCTCAACCCGACCTGGGCCATCATTCGTGGCAGCTTCTTGTCGACACTCTTGAAGATCGTCTTGTCCTCGCAAACACGCTGGCATCCTTCGAAGCCCGGCTCACGAAAGGTTTGGCGACGAACTCAGCCCTTGGCCAGGTCGAAGCCATCGGCCCGATGCACCTCGGCAGCATAGCCGCGGCTGCGCTAGAGAGGCGAACCTACCAGTTACCTCCACCGTTGTTATTTTGGCGCTAACTGTATGAAGCATGTAGCAGCATGCTCGTGTAGCCCTTGACTTTACTTGCGCACAGCTGTGACCGAGCTTCTCGCGATGATGCTGCCTTGCAAAGAGGGCAGGGCAGCAGAATCTAGACTGAATCCTGTACTTTATGTTGCACATTTTGTATAACACACAACACAAAATTCGTCTGCAGATAATAATTTACATAGACGTTGAAAGATGTTAGACATGTTACATGTATTTACTACTTCAAGTCTACAGCCGAAGTGGCTCGCCGGTGCATCCTAAACATGTCGTATCATGTCGTGCGCCATCGATACAGCGACTCGGAGGAAACTTCCCTGAAACCCTAAACCCCAAACTTCCTGGAACCGGCCTGCATGGTCAACCGGTTTGCCCTCGGCGATCATCGCCTTTCGCCGAAGATCCAGCACACCTTGAGAAATTTCAAGCAGCCTGCATCACGCCAGACGGCGCTGGGGGGCCGTTTCAAACCAAAGCCTGCTCAAGTATGTATACCATAAGTATCGCGCCATATTGCAGGTCATCAGTGCCACCTGAGATGCGCGGTCGCTTGCTGATTACTGATAAAGCCCTCGGCAGTGTCAAATTCCTGCCTTCCTCCTGAGTCGGAGCCATGGTGCAGAGCTACGAAGCCAGCTGAATGCTGCAGAACTATGATGCTGTCGTATCGAGTCCGAGTGATCTGTTGAACTCTAAAGTGAATCCGAGATCAGCCGTCTTTGGTGCAAATGCTCAGACACATTCTCTTTGCTTGTGGCTTTGATGCTGCCATGGCTGCCGGCACATGACCTAACTATCTGATCTCACCGATTACACCACATGATCAGGTCTGCCACCCGGGGGAACATGTGCGCAGGGCTGGAGCAAGACGCCTCTGCTTCCAGCTTGACCTCCTGGCCCAAGCTGTAGGTCCCTTCTAGCTCAGGATACCTGGCATCCGGGGTGTGAGGCCACATGACAGGACAAGACTCCAGGTTCGTGCATGACCACTGCTTTACGAATGTACACGAATGGGTCCTGGTAACCATCCGGGAATCTGAAAATAGAGCTGAGGTTGCCTGTATCTGTTGTCGTTCCTTAAGCGTCTCTGCGGCTCTGGGCCCCTCTCCTTCAAGTCATACACGGATCTTGACATCCAATAGGGAGGTCTTGTGTTGCTCAAGCTGCTTGTGCTGGGGCTCTGAAGCCCTTAACCCCATTATGGATCCCTTTAAAGGAACCCTTTTAGATCCCTTTAAAGGAGGCCTGAGGGTGTGAGGCTTCTCAGGCCGGATCGTCAAGGTGAGCTTCGACTCCGCACTGCCCGAAGCCGTCGTGGCAGTCACCTCACAGGGCCCCGGAGATTCAAAGCGGGAGGGAAAAAATTCCTAATACCCCTTTTCCCAAAACCCGGAACTCTAAACTCCTACACCACAAACGCCTAAACCCCTAAACCCCTAAACTTCTAAGGTCGATCCGCCGCACCTGAAAGTCTGTGGTCGGCAGCGGGCTCTGCGGGGTTCCCGTGACCCGGCCAGTGGCCTGCATTTTCGGGCTTAGGGTTTAGGGTTAGTATGCGAACACAGGGTCTATAAGGGGAGGTGTATGTCAGAGTGTACTTCTATAGGGACGATGGTAAGCTCTATACGGGGAAGTTATTACATTAAGGCCCCGATTGTAAACTGAAAATGACCCGAGAAGTCTTCAAACACTTCTCCCCATGTTCAACGCGTTCCAGCACGCCTCGTCAAATCTGAGGCCGTCAGGAAGATCTGGACCTCACATCTCTTTGTCTCTTTGCCCTCTACAGGAGTGTCTCTGTCGAAAAAAGCAACCGCGCTGGGAGGCCCTCCCAAGGCCCCTGCTGACGCTGAAAGTTGTATCTCCGGCCGCCTCTCGAAGCGAAAAACTACTGGCCCCCAGCATGCGCAAGCTGGACACCCAGTGGCCTGCGGCGACAAGTCGACTGCCTCCCCGACGAAGAGCACAGCTCCACCCTGACATTCTGCACGTCTGCGCCGGTACCATGTGACGCCAGCCAACATCACATTATACTTTACTTATACAGTTTCACCTCCTCCAAACCATAGTTGGGCGGCTTTGGTCCAACCTCAGCTGCACATGGCCACTAAGCTCTTGTCGCAGGTTTGGCAGCAAGCTTTGAATCAAGATCCGACAATGTGTTTCCCGTGCTCCCCTGAAGGTGCAAAGCAACGAGGACAGCACACCTTTCACCTCCAGCTGAAGAGCAGTAGTTACCTCCACAAACAATCGCGATCACTGCTGGCGCGTAGGACTCGGTGCTCTTAGCTCTTAGAGTCTTAGACAGTAACCCTAGTGCTCAGGCATCGGACCGGCCTGCCATAAAACTCAAACTCTCAACCCCAAACTGCAAGAACCCCAAAAACCCTGACTCCTCCGACTTTGACCTGCAACTCCCTGAAGAAGTAAAGACGGCTTTAGCCGTGGTTTCGGTTCAGAGCTTGGTCAGTTTATGACATATGGACCACGGCTCGACAAATAACGGAAGGACTATAAAACCAAAAAACTATAATAACAAGCATAACATATAGCGGGGCTTGGCACGGCACGTGTAGTAGTGCCCAGAGAAGTTTGTCAACACAAAGCTTTGTGACCGGTCGTTGTCGTCGTCCCTGTAGGAGTAGTAGTGGCAGCAGTAGTTGTACCAGAAGTAGTAGAAGTCGTCGTCGTCGTGGTCGTCGTGGTCGTCGTAGGTGTAGTCGTCGTAGTAGTAGCGGCAGAACCACGTCCGTATAAAGATTAGTAATGGAATCGTAGATGATTATCCAAAAGGCGATAAGAATGAGGCTGAAGACTAAAGAACCACAACTTCGAAACGGTAGAGGGTGCTCAAAGTCCCTAACATGCCGCTGACCCGGAAGGTCAAGTCGCAGCGGATGCAAAAAAGCAACGCAAACCGCACGGAGCTCAATCAGTAGCTTTCGATAACTTTTCCTGTGGAACATAACAGTGCAGCTCACGCACCTCTCCACCGGAATTTGCAGCGCATATTGTGTACGCTGCCGGCTCCGCTGCCTTCAGGAAGGTCTCTCGATGCGACGCAATGCAACCCCGGTTCAGTAGCCGGCTCGTAACATGATGCGACTACGCTGCTTGTTGTCGTTGTAGTACACGTGCCGGGTAAGACTTGTCAATAAAAACCTTCGCTAGCTCGCTCACGATAGTGGGCATTTTTAAGTTTCGACACTACACTCCCGCTGGCATTTGCCGCGGACTCCGTGGACCGACCATGACCGAGCTACAGGCTTAGGGAGATCCGGCGCGGATTCTGACAAAGGGCACACCTGAGGTCGCCCACGACCAGCACCGGAATGGCTTCACTCCACTTAGCTACGAATGCGCTGCAGCCGTCTGGTTCTCATCCAGACTATTCACGAGTGCCGCGTAACGTCGGAGTACCGAAACAAGGATTCCGGGCTTGTTAGCGCACGCCAGCTCAAGGCAGACAAGGCTTCAGGCAAGAAGTCCACGAGACTGCCACTCGGACGTGTAGGACTTCCGTGTTTTTTGTGTCTGATGATGCATTGCCGGTGTGAAAACACACGAGGGACCCGAGATGACCGGCCAGGGCCCGCTGGAACTGTTCGTCCCAGCTTTTGGCACACAGCCAAGATTTCTTTCGGGTCGGGATCTCCTGAGCGGTCAACGAATTCGCCGGGGGCATCTCTCATGCCAGGTATCAAGTGACTCAGTTGCTCTGAGACTCACCATGGCGACTGCAAAGATTACTATTGGGTTTTCTTTTTAGGCGTCGGCCAAGGGTTTCTGCCAAGCTGAGAGTGATACGGGTCCGAGCACAAGTTTGACGGCTCCATAGCAAAATGATCGGCACTGAGTCTGACCCCCTGTGAGCTCTGCGTTCGACGCTTGACTTCTGATACTGCCTGGGTTTCAGGTTACCCAGCGGGCAGACCTTACAGAGCACCGCCATTCGACTGCCAACAAAGGTTCTGTTTAACAGGCAGCAACACCATCAGGCACATTGGATGGCGGCATGATTGGAATCAGAACCCACATGGCCATGTCAACGTCTACGCCCACAGCTACCGCAAAAAACAGATGTGGATTCCACTCATGCAGCCCACCAGCGGTGAATCTGCTTTCGAATTCCTGTCATGCAGAGAACCTCAATGCAAAGTGTGGCTGTGGCATTTGGATTGCCCGATCCCGTCGACATGGACCTTTGAGCAGCACTATGGCTCTCTGCTGCCTATCTTCGCAACCCGGACGATCAATGCCACAACTAGAACCTGATTCGGCTTCCAATCGGAGCCCAATCTTGGAATGAGGATTTGAAACACGTCGGGATGTTGCTCTTATCTGCTCGGGCAAATCGGCCCATGCAGTCGTAAGCAGTGCTTCCGCAGCTGTCCCGCTGCAAGGGGTCTGCGCCGAAGTGGAGGAGCAAACGAACCATGTGCCAGTCTTTCTCCTTTGCTGCGAGATGCAGTGGATAGGTTCGGTACAGACCGCCAAACGACTTTTTGGCCACGTTGACATCGAAGCTGTCACTGTGAATGCCGTGGTGTTGCAGGAACTTATCAACTTGAGTCCTGGCCTTCTGCAGATTAGACTGCTGCACCCGGACCTGTTGATACCTTTTGCTCCTTTCTTGCTTCTGCTTCGCTTCCCACATTGCCACCTGGTCTGTGCTGCATTGCAATGCTTCGTCCCCTTCCACCGTCTTGCAACGCCCACCACGTTGGTGGAACGTGTAGATAGGCAACGACATGAGGAGAGGGTTTTGGGGAAACAAACCCGCTTGAGCCAAAATTCGGGGCGCCTGGGCTTGCAGGACCTGGTGAAAAGGTCCGCTGGAGTATACACGGTGGCAACAGATGTTGAAACACTGACGTACAATGACCTTCTAGACATAACATGCAGGCGCAACATGAGGCTCCGGTTTGCAATTGCAAATAGGGTTACTGCAAGAGGCGCCTGAGTCGGAGCTCCGGCAATGGCGCCCGTGTCGGCGCCCAGCACCTCTCAACTCGCGTGCTTGCGTGCTTGCGAGAGGCTGCACGAATCCGGGAGATCTTCTTGGGGCTGCGACCAGTCCAGGGGGCAGATCAGGCGACACCGACCTTGTTTCAAGCGACGCGGATCCAAGGCGGATGGGAGCTCCCTAGCTTTCAGGCACTGACCATTTGGTTGCGTCGCCGCCTTCGATCGTCGGAGCCCAACTGACCGCCTCGGACAGTTCTGAAACGTGCCCGCATCCTCCCAAATCTGTATGCCTTGCAGTCGTCCGAAGTTGAAGAGCAAGGCACCAGCCGACTCAGGGGATCGTGCAAAATCTACAAGAACTGTTCAATCCTGTTCACGATTGATTTCACAAGCTGATCTCCATTGGCTACCTGAGCCCTCCGAAAACGGCCTTGACACCAGCTAGGTTGGAGGACGCATCGACTGCATTCGAACCCCCCCGAGCTCAGGTCGTGGAGGGCCCGGTTCGTCTGATGGCACATCAGCCTAAATGTCTCCCCACCGATTTGTCCTTCCCTCAGCACAAGTACAGGAACCCGAGGCCGCGAGTCGTACCTTCAACCCCTGCCCCGTCCAGGAATGTACCGCAACATACCATTGACGATTCTGGTCTGAAAACAAGCTGTGCTAGGCCAAATTCTAGGCTAGGACGGCGCCAGGAAGTTTAAGTTATCGACAACTCCCCGGCAAGGTATCTAAGGTGCCAACTTGACCAACATCAAGCGCAGCTAGGGCAGTTGGATACCTGGCAGGCGACACGACAAGAAGTCCATGCAGCCAAACTTTCCTTCCTCTACCGCTCCAGTCAAAGCATCGTAAGACGTGCACGAGAGCGTCACAGGGGGCGTTTCCTTGACTGCGAAGCATAATTCGGCCCGAGCCTTGGGATCAAACAGACCGACGAGCAGTTGGACCCTTTGCGTGCGTACCGGGCTTTCCCAAACTCCGGGCCAGCTGCCTCACCTGCTTCGTTCTTGGCAACGACGGTGTAAGTGGCCTAACGCTCGATCTTGGCCCTCGAACGTGAACGAAGGGGGGGGCGGTGTCAAAGTGCCTCGTCGAGCAGCTTGTTCGGCAAGGCACCGGAAATGATCCTGAGTGTCATGCATGCATGCATGCAGGCATGCATGCTGTAGGTATGTATGCAATGTTGCACTGCAGTGAAGTGATGTGAAGTGCAATGCAATGTAAGGTAATAGTGTAGTGTTACTAACTACTAAGTATGTGTACGTGCACGCACACATATCTCTGTGCAAATGAAACAAAGGAGAGGAACTTGCGTCGAGTATAGGCCGACCCCGAGCCCACTGCCCAGTGGATGCATCCAGCTCCAGGCCCTTCGCAGGGCTGCAAAACGTTCATCGAATCCAGGTAGGGGTCCTTATACTACGATCCTGTGATGTGGGGGTGGTCCTTGCACTGTGCTCCTGTGATGCGTGTGTTAGGGGGGGGGTCGGGGGTCCCGTACTTTGAGCCTGTGATGTAGGGGTCTGCAGTTGGGGTCGCTTCTAAGTCCTGGTTCCCTTTCAGCTGCTTTCTTCAGCGACTCAGAGCAGCTCGGCCTCGGGTAGCGCAGGAGATACTTCGAAAGAGCTCACCTGGCTGGGGCAGCGAAAAAAGGGTGGGCAGGGGTTCACTCAGAGATGCCATCCGCACACGCTGAGCCGTTTTTGGCCCTGCGCCCATACATCCATCAGGTATATACAGCGGACCTGAATTAAAAAAGCTCGTGGACACAAAGAGCTAGCTTCGCATCCACACAAACGTATTTTCGCCGGAGCCATTTCGGGCACTCCTACGTGTCGGCACTGAGACGATGACCTTGCCCAATTGAGGCCTACATCAGCCGTGATCCCGGTCGTATCATCTGACTCCAACTTGATAGAATGACAACCTGACCCCGGCAGCGAGGACACCATGTGCCTTGCCAGCAGTACAGGCTTCCTCCGACGCCTCGCTGAAAGGCTCACAAGCTAGATTCCTTCTGCGGTGCATAGATCCCTCAGCGCTGAGGGCATTAAAAAGCTGCGGGCTGCATCTGCTCTACAAAAGTGCCCTCTGTTGGACATAAAGAAAGCGATATTTCTGTGAGGATCTGAATCTTGAAGAGGACACACAAGAAATCCTGTCTTGTTCCTCTGACTTGCTCAAGAGTCGGATCCTCCTGGACAGAGGCTCGTCTCGGAAGCGCTCAGGAGCTCATGGGAAACTGGCCTGGCATCGGGCGGTGCTTGTGTCACAAACTGTCATGATGGGGGGGCCTCACTCCAAAGCGGCATCTGTGAGGCTCTGGGCACCGTGAGTTCATGCGTCAGCTCTCCCTGCCAGAGCTTACTTTTGGGTGCGCCTGAAGGGTGGCATGCGTACCAGTAAGAAACAAAGCCGGCACGAAGATGGTAAAAAGTACCTCAGCGCTGCATCTTGTGAAGAGTATACAACCATGTTTCTGCTGCTCTAGGCCACAGGCAGTGATGAGGGTGTTCTTCCCTCCGGTCAGCACACCCTTGTTGTGCAGAGTGATCATGAAAAGCGCCATGCTTGACCTGATGGCAAGGCCAAAGTCTTGAAGCTGCGACTCCTGTGCTGACATCACTGAAGCGGCGGGGCTTCCAGTTGATGTTTGAGGATTATCAGTGTGAGCACACAGACAGCAAAGGCTCACGGGTACGTAGAACTACGAGACAAGTGCCTTGCCCTAAAGCTATTCAGAAGTTGAGCGGTCTAGATCCAGAAGACTTGGATGACATGTCCTCAAGATCGCGAGATTTTGGCTCAGCCATTTGCCAGACTGCAGACTGAAACAAGCAGCGTCATCGCACGTCATGTCGTGCCTAAATGAAGGGCAGCAAGCCGTGATTCGGGATGTCCCCTGATCTTCCATGACAGCACTTGTCGCATTTGTACACAACTCCCTGCCCATACTCGCTCGCACCGCCCCCGTACCATGCGGCAAATGCTTGCAATTGTGACAGACCCGACTTGTCGTCCAGAGGCCGCTTGCCAAAGGAGCAATGCCGTGGGCAGCTGTCGAGGAAGACACCTCGCTGCGGATGGGTTATCACCTGATGCAATGTTTCAGTGAGATTCGCTGCATAGTCCATGATGCAACCTTTGGAGGCGCGACAGGCAGCACCCATCTCGCAGCTCTGTTGGTCAAGGTCGAAGCGGCTTTGGAGTACAAAAAAGGGAGTTTTCAGAGAGGCGGCCACAACGCTTCCTATCAAGCACTTCTCCAGGTGGTCGCCGTGCTCGGAGGCGCAGCCGGCATTCAAGAAGCTTCTTGCTGCTTGCCTGGTCACCACATATCTCTTCAGCGGCGTGAAGATATCCAGGTCCATGTAGAAGCCAGAATCAGGCAGTCCCACGACTTTGGCGGTTGGGCTAAAGCTAAGGGCGAGGTCTTTCAAAGCATCGAGATGTGCAAACACACGGATAGCGCCGGCGCTGCAGCCGCTGATGACAATATCAGTTGCATTGGAAAAACCGAATTTTGTGAGATCTTGGAAGACGGCCTGCGTGATGTGCTTTCCTCGGAAGTAAAGAGCAGAGTCGCCCACCTTGACAGGATCCGCTACTTCACCAGAGAAATAACCACCGTCACAGTACCTGAGATAGACGTGGTTCCAGTTGTACATCAACGGGTTCTCATCCTGTGACCGAGAAAGCTTCAGGTTATTCAGGGACCCGAAGTCCATCGTCGAAGAGTCCTTGGCCGTGCTGCCCAGCGAAGAGCGAGACCGCTTAAGGCAGTCCGAATCTGAACCGCAGAAGCCGCCACCCTCGTGGAAGATCTGGAACTTCGAGGCACCTGAGCCGTAGCCCTCGGAGAAGTAGTAGAGCCCAGAGCTCCCATCCAAGCAGCGCGCCAATGGGTAGCCCTCTGACGGACCCACAAAGTGAGCTTGGGCTTTTGGCTCAGCAAAGATCGAAAAAACTCCGAAGCCTCTGAGGTGTCCATCCGAAAGAAGGACGTAAGCCACCGGAACTGCAAGGAGCAAGGAAAGCGAAGCCAGAAGCCATGCCATGCCCCTCTCTTAGAGGCAAAGCCTGAGCTACTTAGGTCTTAGGTCGCCCCCCCAACCAGGAAGCTTGATCGGGCGCGCATTGCAGAGAGAATCTAGAGAATCCAGTCCGACGAGGGCTATAGGGGAACCTTGGGGAACCTTCTGCCCATGCTGGGAGGTGGTGTCCTGAGCTTCAGGCATGAAGAGTCCCGTGAGGCGGACGTCTGCAATAGTCCATGCCTGACCGAGGGGCACAGGGAGGAGCGTCGATGCAGCAACGCCAACATCCGCCCCTTCGCCTGGTCCGGAAGGTCGACCACGACATGCTCCCAGTACCTGCAGCTAGGGATCTCCACAGCCAGCTTGCATGAGAGGTTGGAGGTTGGCAGCTTTCGTCCGAGTCGTCTCCCCGCCGCAGCACAATTTAAACTCTTCTCCCCGCCCTTCAAGACTGCGCTGCAGCCACACACACCCTCATGACCTTTGGCACCCAGGCCTGGATCCCAAACCCGAAACAAACCTACTCCGCAAATTGGGGTCTAGGGTAGGTTCTTGGTAATCGCCGTGATGGAACGCATTTCAGCGGGAGAACATGCAGGATTCTTCTTCCTCGCATCTGAATGAAGGCAAGATCCCCGTGCAGGCGCCCACTCAAAAGATAATCCCTGCCCCGCGCGAGGGCAAGCTTAAGCTGCGCGCGCGCGTCCGCTGTAAGGGAGGTTCTCAGCCCAACAGCATCTTCGACTCTTCGACGAAGTCCGGGGCAGCGACTGTGGATCCAGCCACTGGTTCAGCATGTCAACTGTATCCAACCAGTGAAAATACCTCTACTCGGAGCTGGGAGCAGGAAGATGGCACAAGGAAAGACTGGGTTCCGAGCATGAGGCCAACAAGGCCCGGAACGTAGTACGGTCGGAACCTATCCTGGACAGAGCAGGGCGAGATCTCCCACCCCCCGCATTTCTGCTCAAGCAAGTCAGGCCATCCTCGACATAGTGCCGGTACCTCCAAGCGCCAAGCGGTGATACTGCTCTTCAGTTCATCCGCACAGAGCAGCGCACATTCTCTCTATCCAGTGCTTGTAGAAGTAGATGCTGCTGGCCAAGAACACAATTCCTGCGGCTTTTTTGCAGCATGCGCCGGAGTGAGCAGCCATGCGAGCAAGTTACAGTTTAAGGCTTTTGGGTTTAGGGCTTAGGGTTCAGGTGGCCAGTGTCCAGCGGGATAGACCCAGTGGCCGAAGATAACAGGGTTTGTCGCGGCCAGTAGGTGAGCGATGTAGTAGACCGTCCAACCTGCCCCACATTGCGTTGTCTCCCTTTTCATGGGGGAAGAATTGAAGTTCTAGAGATTCTTCTGAAGCCCTGGCCAGTCGTCGCATAGAAGGTGACTCGAAAGTGCGGGGCAAGAGTGCGGATGCCATCAAACCTGGATGAAGACTGCATGTGCCGTGAAGGGCAGTAAGCTTCTCACGCTCTGCACTTGGGACCTCGTGGTTTTGAATCGCTGGAAGCTTAGATACCTTGCGAGTGTGACATCGGCCTGTGGCGGTTCTATTTTTGGAAACGTGCGACTGGAGATTGGCAGTTTGGATTCAATGAAAGATCTAAGACTCACGCATGTCAGGATCAAGAACAGGACGACCGCAACAAGTAGTCATCGAGACCGTGAAAGATGGACATCAACATGTGAGTGCAGGTGCACACACCGCGAAAGTATGTGATAGAGACATGCATCTGTCTCAGTGTATTGGTCCATATACATGTATGCCCGTCTGTAAGTGTATGAAAGAGTGTTAGACAGTTAGACATACATAGTTTGTGTCACGTATGTATGTTTGCGTGGCGCGCTCCGAAAGAACTTCTCAGCAGATAATCGCTGGTCTGCTACGGCCATGGTGAACGTTGTGGCGAGGGTTAACACAAGCTCTGCCAGCACGATCGCTGGGCCTTGAAGCGTAGATCACGGCATAAATCAAAGCTGCGGCATAGCACTCGACGTCTGATGGCGGCTGACCTGCGCAGAACCTGTCCAGGGCCGTGAAGCTAGGCACAGCGACCGGAGATCAAGCCATCACTTGCAGCGCCGATGTCACGTGTGCCTGACTAACTCAAAGAGGAAAAGGAATCCAGAAGAAGCGCACGCCAGCCCATGCACGTTCGGCCTGAGGTGAAGCAACTGTCAAAGTGGGTGGACAGACTCCTACTCCCGTCGCAGTGTTGTTCGTGGTGTGGGTGATGGTAGTGGCAGAGGGACTGGCAGTGAGGAGGAGGAGGAGGAGGAGGCGGCAGCAGCCATAGCCGCAACAGAGGCAGCGGCTGCAGCTGGAGCAGTAGCAGTAGCTGAATCAGCAGCAGTAACATGGCAGTCGGAGTAGCAGTAGTAGTAGCACTAGCAGTAGTAGTTGATGATGATCATGGTGATGATGGTGACGATGACGATCATACTGATGTTGCTGTTGATGATGATGACGATGATGGTGACGATGATGATGGTGGTGGTGGTGGTGGCGAGGATGATGATGATGATGGTGATGACGACGATGACGATGACGATGACGATGCTGATGATGCAGTTGTTGCTGTTGTTTGGTG